CTCACAGACCTGGAGGGTGGAAGTCCACAATCGAGGTGTTGGTGGAGTTGGTTCCTTCTATGAGGGAAGGGTCTGTTTCAGGCTTCTTTCCTAGTATAGTAGTCTGCTTTCTATCAAAAAACAAAAGTACCTGGGCCCATGCTTGTGATCCCAGCCACTCCAGGGCCTGAGGCAGGAAGCTCGCTAGTTCAAGACCAGCCTGAGCCACTCAGTAAGACCCTGTATGAAAAAAGGGCTAGACATAGTGGTGTATAACTGTAATTCCACTATTTGGGTAGGTGAGGCAGAAGAACTGAAGTTTGAAGCCAAGCTAGGCTACAGAGAGTTCAAGTACAGCCTGGACAAGATAGTGAGAGCCTGTCTCAAAAAACAAAACAAGACAACAACTGCAGGCAAGAACTCATATAGATACTTTTACACCCATATCACAGCAACAGTATTCACAACAGCTCCAAAGTGGAAACCCATTGTCCCTCAACAGTGAAGAGGTAAACAAGATGTGGCATGTCCATGTACTGCAATATTATGTGGCCAGAAAAAGTAAATGTTGAGACATGCTACTACTTAAAACATTAGGCTCAATGAAATAAGCCAGGCAAACGTTAAATATTATATGATTATATTTATATGAAATATCTACAATAGGACATTCGTGGAGACTAAGAGTAGAAGATATCAGTGGCTGAGAAAAAGGAGACTAGAAAGTCACTGCTACACTTGATCTTAGCCAAAGGCTGAAAAGCGATGAAAGTCACTGCTTATTAGGTTCAGAGTTTGTGTCTGAGATGATGGGGGATCTGGAGATGGATAATGAAGATGGTTATGTAACAATGAATATAGTGAATGCCACTGAATGTACACTTAAAAAATGGTTAAAATGGAAGACTTTTAGCTGCGTGTGGCAACCCACACCTGTACTGCGAGTCTGAAGCAGGACAATTTCAAGTTCAAACTCAGCCTGGACAACTTAGTAACTTCACACGTTGAGAACCTATTCAATGTTAAAAAAATAAAAAATTAAAAAATAATAATAATAAATAGGGCTGGGGATGTAGCTCAGAGCAAAGGCCCTGGGTTCAATTCTCAGTATAATAAAGAAAAAAAAAAAAAAAAAAAAAAAAAAAAAAAAAAAAAAAAAAAAAAAAAAAAAAAAAAAAAAAAAAAAAAAAAAAAAAAAAAAAAAAAAAAAAAAAAGGAAGGGGAAGGGAGAGAGAGGGAAGAAAAGAGGCCCTCAGCCTTTGGACTTCCCTGAATCCTGAAAGAGAGTGATGACTTCCTTTTCTTCCTCAACCCGCCTGTGCGTTCCAGATGAGGCCAGCGCAGCGCAGCACCAACTAGATCCCTCCTCAGAAGTCCAAGGAAAGACAGACCGTGATGGCCAGACCCTGCCTTCTCCCTGGGACGCAGCCCCAGAGCAGCCATCTTGGGGCCCAGGGCATTAGCCATTCAGGGCTCCAGTGGCAGTTCCGTGTCTTGGCACCCACCAGCGGGTGACACGGGACTGTACAGACTGCAGAGGTCACCCCAGAACCTCCACTGGGCCACTCCATGGCACTCGGGCCTAAGGGGAACAGAAAACAGAGCTGTGAGGAAGCAGCAGCCTCGAGCAAACAGAACCAGGAACGCTCACAACGCCTGTGCCTGCGTCGTGCGTCGGGGGGCGCCTGCGTCGGGGGCGGGACTGTCCGGCGTCATGGCCACTTTGGCATGGCTGCGCGCCTCAGAAAGCCCAGTTCACCTGAAGTAGGCCTCCAGCCACCCAGCGCCCATCTCAGAGCCCAGAAGCTCAGGAAGCTGAGTCAGGCCACGGCAAGGGCTCGGCGCCTGTGACCTGGAGACTAGGCCGCGTCAGTCCACCCGCAGGGGCTGGGCACCTTCCCAGCACGACGTTGTGCCTCCACGGGCCCTGGACGACAGGACTGTGTCCTCTGCGTCTGTCCTCACGGCGGCCCCATGAAGCTGAAGCCCTAGTTTTAGGAGAAAACTTGCCAGGGACCTAGATGAGAGCCGAGACTGTGGCTTCCTCTGCTGCTGAAGGGGTTTCTGCCTCCGGGAAGTGCTGTGGCTTGGCAGCTGACAGATTTGGGGGTCCCCCCGGCTCCTCAGGGGTGGTTAGGCTGAAAAAGCCTGCGCTGAATAGTATTAGCACTGGGAAGAGGACGCCCGCCACCACCGTGTGGCTGAGGGCTCAGTAGAAGTCAGAAGATAAATCCATCTGTGGTCAGCGGCACCCAGGCCTCCACAGCCCCGTCTGATGTCTGACCCCAAGTGGGTAGGGATCAGGGACAGCTGCTGATGCCAAGTAGCTCAGCAGCGCACCGCAGGAGTCTGATACAGGAAGGAGACAGGAACAGGGCGCTTTTGGTTTAGCAAGAGCTGAAGTGAGGTTGGGCATGGCCTGTAATCACAGCAGGAAGATTGAAGCGAGTTTGAGACCAGCCCGGCTACCCGGTAAGAACCTGTCTCAAACTCCCCACAACCCTCCCCCGCGCACAAAAATGAGGCTTGGAACAAGACAAAGGGAAGGGGAAGGGTAACCAAGCAGCTTGGTCACAGTCCGCCCCAGACTACTGTGCTGGCTTTTGGGTGGCTCCAGTAGGAACTGGGTGTAGTGGTGCATGGCTGTAACCCCAGCACTGAGGCTGAGACAGGAGGATCACGAGTTTCAACCCAGCCTGGGCAACTTAGTGAGACCCTGCCTAAAAAGGGGGCAACAGATGTAGTTCAGGGCAAGGCCGCCGCTGGGTCACTGCAGGGTGCCAGGTTCAGTGCGAGTGTCCTCCACAACTGATCTTGCTGGCCCTCAGGCAGGACACAGGTGAGGAGTCCAAGCTGAAGAAAGTGCCTTGCACAGCTACTCCTCAAGGAGTTAAAACCACCACAGAATTTGCTTATAATCAGGACACAGGCAGCAGGATGCTTCATGGTCTGGGACAGAGATAGGCTAGAAATTGTGGCACTCGCCAGGTACAATGCTGCAGACCTGGATTCAGGCAGGAGAATCTCAAGTTCCAGCCCGGCCTGGGGTACATAGTAAGACCCTGTCTCAAAAAGCCAAGAGCAAACCAAAATCCCAGGATCAGTCTGGTGTCTTCCTGACCCAATCATCTCTGCAGTGTCCAGCCCTGGGCCGTCCACACTGCATCCCAGAGACTTTAGGGCAGGCAAAGGCCACAGTTGGGCTTCACACCAGTCACCAGCACTCGAGATGCCTGTGCACCAAGGACTCTGATGCCCACCTCTCCCCTCCTCCCTGTCTGGTCACCCCACTCTGCCCTTCCTGCAGTCAGCTTCAGACACATTCACCTGTGCTGTTGTTGGCCTTTCCAAGCCAGTTTTTCCTGATGTGTCCTCTCAGGACCTAGGAGGTAGATGAGACATATTTTTTGAGTGAGCAAATGAGTGCTCTCATGAGGCTTACGTAACCCTCACCCCCCTACTGCTGAAAGGCTGCTCTGGGCCTGACCACCAGGGCCAGACGTCGTCGCTGTTAACTCTGGCCTTGCCTATTCCTGTGCTTCTAGCTTAGGAAGCATAGCACTGGGCCGTTTCAGTGAGGACAGTGACCTCCAGTGGCCGCTGGGAGCCATGCATGAACACAAGCAAACGTGGGAAGTATGGCCTGGCTTAGATCCTCTTTCAGCAGGGACTGCCTTCCTACCTTTTCTCTTGCCCAGGTCCTTACAAAAGTTGACAAATCCAAGTGTTTAGAGCTGTAAAGAGACCCCTTCTGCAGGGAGAGCTGCAGTGAAGTTACGTATCCAAGATCTGTCCCTCTGTCCCTGTCTCTGTGACAGAGCAGGCACCAGGAACCTCCAGGCAGGGACAGGAATGGACCACTTTCTTCTCCAGACCCTTGGTCCCCACTTGGGTTTTTCCAGAGCCACAGACTCAGTATTGATGTCATTTAAAGGGATACCCAGGCAGAGGGCAGCCCCTCCTCCATCACCTGCTCTCTCCAGCTGTATGTTCAAGCCCCATTCCCTTCCAACTACTCAATTCAGACAGTGGTGCTGTGGGAAACAGTCATCCAACACCCCCGACACTGGCAGGCCACATGCAGTGAGCACAGCCTGCCTCTGGGCTAAGCTCCCCTGTAAGCTCCCATGACCAACTAACCCCGCAGATGGAAGCAGGCGGTCTCATGCCACACCACTAGGGTGGTATCACTCATCTTTATTGCCAGATCTGCCATTGACATGCAGGGGTGATGGCTGATGGACAGATGTACACCTCAGGCTGAGTGTGCCCGCCTCCCACCATCAGTGCATAGACAGATGTACAGAACCTAGCACTGCTGCTGTCCTGGATGTGGCCAGCTTCTCACTGAGCACAGGGTGCAGAGTATGCAGGCATCGACCACAACTGTCTCCCAGCAGATACAGCTGGTTAAACTGTGAAGATGTAGGCCTAGCTGACCTTTTCCATCAGCAACAGGGGGAAGATCACTGAGAAAAAGCTTCCGGTGGAGACGTGTTGGCGGTATGTATCCTCCTGACTTAAGTTTTGATTGAGCACCAGAATCCCTCAGGGGGCTCTGTTACTCACACTGTACTGACCTGTGAGGCCAGACTTGCCCCTCCACAGGGCGCCCAGCTGTGGCTGTGTGTCAGCCCTGGTAACCTCAGTGTGCCAGCCAGTCCCCGTGGGCGCCCACACCTGTGATGCACAAGGACTGTTCACCTCTCGAAGATTCGACTTGGAAACCAGAGTTCAACTCAGTTGCCACCAGACAGTAATCACCTCTCAACCCCGCTGCCCTGTCTCCTGAAAGAGTCCACAGCATGTGATCTCCTTATACACCCAGCCCTCAACTCTGATACTGCTCACGGGGTCTCCCTGAGGCTCAAAGAAAGCAAAGACAGAAACATTTATCGCTAAACTTTTGTTCTGTGGGGTTTTTTTTGTTTTGTTTTGTTTTGCTCTGAAAACCCAATCTAAAAGGCATGTGGTGGCACACACCTATGATCCCAACACTTAGGAGTCTGAAGCAGCCTATACTATATAGTGAGACCCTGTCTCAAAAAGAAAAAATTTTAAAAAAATAAAATAAAAAGGTAACATTCAGATAAGTAAAATCTCAGGATACCTTTTAAAAAGTGCTAAAAAGAAAATATGCTACATACAGCTCGTGGTGAGATTTTGGGTGAGTCTCACTTCTAGATTCCATTTCCTTGTACTTCACCCTACTATACAGAATAAGCATTATTACCTTTAAAATCAGAAAACAAATATAACTAACTTTTGAAGTTTAATCACCAATTAGAAGTTACATCTAATAATCACTTGGACTTTCCAAGATTCACAGCACCAGTTCCGACTACTGTCTCCTCTCCCTAATTCCGAGTGAAAGGGACAACTAGTCATGGGCCTGTGGTGCCCCTCACGGAGTCAGAGCCGAGCAGATCCGATCTCAGCTCACTGCTGCAATATCTGTGTCCCCACCAGGAAATGGACTAAACAGAGAAGCACACATTCCTGTAGAAAGTGAGTTCACAGGAGTCAATCTCCATGCTTCTGCCTGGCTGATACCACCTGGGGCCCTGGCATCTTCACCCCTTCGCTCCACACACAAGTGTGGTACCCAGGCCTGGTAGCCTCCGAGCAGAGGCCAAGGTCCCATCAAGAGTCCAGGTTTTAGGGGCTTCCTTTGTTTTCATCAGGTCTGGGCCGTTTTAGTTCTGGAGGGCTATCCTGGGGGTCTCCAGGCATCTCTGAAACATCGACAAACATGAGGTTCACAAATACATGAAAAATTGTGTATACTAAAAACTAACATGAGCCAGGCATAATGGCGCACATCTGTAATCCCAGCACCTGAAAGGCTGAGGCAGAGGCAGGAGGATCACCGTGAGATCAAGGCCAGCCTGGGATACATAGTGACTTCCAAGGCCAGCCTGAACGGCATAGTGAAACCTTGTCTCAAAAGAAGGGAAGAAATTTTTTTTTTTGAGACAGGGTCTCACTGTGTAGTTCAGGCTGGCCTTGGACTTGTGGTAATCCTCCTGCCTCAGCCTCAAAAGTGCTGGGATTACAGCTATGCATCACCATGATTAGTGTGATATTTAACACTTAAACTAGATAAGGTGAGCATGCCTATAATCCCAGCACACTAGGAGACTGAGGTAGGACAACCCACGTTTTAGCCCTGCCTGGATGAATTAGCACTTAGCAAAAGCCCATCTCCAAAGGAAAAAAAAAAAATTAAAAGGGCCAGGGGCCAGGGATTTAGCTCAATGGTTCTGCTGCTTGTCTTGCAAGGGGCAAGGTCGAGTTCAATCCCTGGCACAAAAAAACACAAAGGAATAGGGATATAGCTCAGTGGGAAGACTGCAGTCTCAGTCTCCTGTATTTTCAGAAAAGGAGAAAAAAAAAGAAAAAGTTGGCATTTACAGAATACAGTGCCAAAGCAAGGAACAGAAAGGACTGGGGTAATTCGGCCTACTCAAGGGTAGCAGGAGCTATCCAGTGACATTTGACAATATCAGGAAGGCAAGGAGGGGCCAGCAGAGATCCTGCTACGCAACCCTATCCTCCAACACCCAGGACATCTCCCCAGAACACAGGACTGGCTGGCGCAGAACATCAGCACTCAGGGTCAGGACATTCAACCCACACTGGGCCACCACCAAGCCATACCTGGTCCTCTCTCACAACCCCTGCCTGGCTCACAGGCACTGGGTCTCCTGCCAGGGCATAAACTGGCAGAAAGTGTGGAAGCTAAAAGATCTGCCAAGATGCATGCTTGTTGTCCCTGAATGAAAACTAGAAGGTATTGCTTTCCAAAAGAACAAAAGAGAAGATATTCTATCTTTAATTACATCATGCCAGCCACACCTGTAATCCCAGCACTCAGGAGTTTGAGACAGGACTCATTGCCAGTTCACAAGGCCAGCCTAGGCCACATTTGAGTTCAAGGCCAGCCTCAACTACACAGCAACTCAAAAAACCAAACCAGGGCCAGGCATGGTGGCGCACACCTGTAATCCCAGCACATGCCTGTGCACTCAGGAGGCTGAGTCAGGAGGATTGCTGTGAATTCGAGACCAGCCTGGGCTACATAGTGAGTTCCAGGTCAGTCTCAACTACACAGTGAGAACCTGTCTCAAAAAAAAAAAAAAACACCAAACAGTGATAAAAATAGTATTAAGCCAGTAACATCATCACTTACCGGATAGAATTTCTTCAGTAGAAGAGGTGGAAACTACGCTGACTGGTACAGAATTTGGTGGACTCTCTGTCTTCAAGGGTATTAAGTTAATTCTCCTTGATTAAAAAAAAAAAAACAAAGGGATAGATGGTTCCTTAATGTCACAGGAATTGTTTGTGTATGATACTTAGTTTCTAAACTACCAAGGAAATTTAGATGTTTCATCTGGCCTTACCATGCCAGTTATTAAATGTAATGATGTGCTCACTTAATCAGTAAGTGAGGGTTACAATCATGTACTAACCCTAACCACCACATTTAGAACTGAAATCAAAACCATGGTGGTGCAAGCCCAGCACCTGGCTGGGGAGGAGGATCCCCAAGAGTCCGAGGCCAGGAGAGCTACATAATGAGTTCAAGGCCAGACTGAACTACATGGTGAGACACTGACTCAAAAAAACTAAAACAAAAAAATTTCAAAGAATACATTCCCCTACCTAAAATACCAAGAGACGGTGAGGTGTGGTGACATACACCTGTAATTCCAGCACTCATGGGAGGCTGAGACAGGAAGATCACCATGAGTTTGAGGCCAGCCTGGACTATGTATCAAGACCCTGCCTCAGAAAAAAAGAACAAGAAAAAAACACAAAGAAATATTAAAATAAACACTACCATGGTAGGAGCCTGCCAACAGTCACGTGCACACATGGCAGACAGCATGGGGAGGCAAGTACACCTCTTGCCTTGGCCACCCTACCCTCCAGCACATCTGGAAGGTCAAGGTTGGTCTATGAGCAGGAGAGTAACATCCTTGGATCTGACATCAGGCCACTGGCCACATGGCCTTTCACCTTAACAGCTGGGGTGACATTTCCTGCCCCATCAGATGTCCTTACCGGGGGGTGGTCTTGCTCCAGGCCTGCAGCGTGTTCAGAGTGACCCTCCGGGACGGGGGGCCCTTCGTGTTCTGACTGCAGGGCTGCAGCGTGGCCTCCTCAGAAGAGCCTGGCAAGGGGCCCTTGGTACCAGGAGTTGTTGTAGGAGCATCCTTGATGGCTGCAGGGCTTGGGGTCTGTCCTGCTGGTGAGGGGGTTGTGGAGGGGCTGCTGGGTTCCTCCACTTTGGCAGTGGGGGTCCCCTCTGCAGGTCTGGGCCCCGGTGAAGACCCCTGCTGGGCGTGACTCCTAGCTTTCTTCGCTGTGTCGGGGGTCCTCACATTCAATACTGGCTTCTCTTTCAAAGGGACGCCAAGTTCATCCTTCTCAAATGTCACAAAGGAGCAGTACCCATCAGTGGACGAAACAGCCAGGAAGGTCCCATCGCTGGACCTTTGTTCCCAAAGCAGGGGAAAAAGTTAGAGCCTTTCCCAAAGTCTATGGCCTACAACACCCTTGTGACCTAGCTGGAAAACTGGAGTTCAGTGAGATCACGAGCTTTCTGGAAGGTGAAGGTAAAAATCAGGGGACAACACCAACAGAACCAGGAACTGCGGGTTCCTCACACACACAGGGTCCTTGCCTTGGGTTGGGGGAGGGGGGGTCCCAAGGCACCAACCACAAGCCATCCATGTCCACCAAATCAAAGTGGGGCAATCTTTTTCCAAGATAAAGAGGAAATTCTAGGGGGAGGGGGCTATGAAGAGCAGAAAAGAAGGTGAGGGACCAGGCCTCATCTAGATCATGAGTTGGTCCAGGCAGAGGCCAAGTCAGGGGCCAAAAGGCAGCAAAGAAGGTCAGGGTGCCGGGTGCATACATGGGATGGGCCAGGCAGGAAGGGCTTCCACCAGAGGGCCTGGTGCACCTGCAAATGAGCAGGCGACCCTGGGCCTCTGCTCCATTTACCAAGTTCAATCTATCCAACAGGGCAATCTAAATGGTGTCAAAAGCCATCACTGGGACCCTAGGAAGCAGCATCACAGCAAAATCAAAATGGCCTCCCTTGCACTGTGGACACCTTGCGTAATTAGGGAACAGGGCCAAAGCCATCTGTAGTATGGAAATGCCTGAGCCCCAGCTCTGCCCAGGGCCATGCCACTGTCCCTACAGCCACTCACCAGGAAATGTCACTAAGCGTGTGGTAGTGGATGTTGGACACATAGCCAAATGGGAATGGTTGCTGAGTGTCATAGAGTAGCACAGAGTCCTCGGAGGCCACTGCAAACACCAGGCGGTAGGGCAGGTGCACCAGCTCCCCAGCCAGCTCCTGTGTGGCTGTGTCTGCAGAAGAGACAACAAAGGAAAGCAGCAATGACAAAATCCAGAGGGAAATGAGTTCCCTGAAGGCCCTTTCCCAGCGGGATGTAAGGGACATCATTTTACCCAAAATTAGTTTTTTGTTTTTGTTTTTGTTTTTGTTTTTGTACCAGGGATCGAATTCGGGTCCTTGAGCTTGCAAGGCAGGCGGTGGAACCACTGAGCTAAATCCCTGGCCCTTCCCAAAACTAGTTTGCTACAGGCTTTACAAAAAATGCAGTTCTTGGGCTGAGGATTTAGTTCAGTGGTGCTGCTCCTTGCCTTGCAAGCAAGCACAAGGTCTGGAGTTCAATCCCCCGTACCAAAAAAAAAAAAAAATGCAGTTCTCAGGCTTATGTTAAATTATCAATAATAAAAGAACCTTGCAGGGGCCAGTAAGGAAAGGATCTGGAACTAAAGAAAAGAGCTGGGAATGGTGACACACACCTGTGATCTCAGCACTCAGGAGGCTAAGGCAGGAGGAGTACCTTGAGTTCAAGGCCAGCTTGGGCTACATATCAAGATACTGTCTCAAAAAAATAAAAAGATACATAAAAGGAAAAAGAAGTTAATTTCACCTTCTGATAAAGAAAAATAGAAACATTCTATCAAGTGACAGTTGCTGGGGATTTAGCTCAGTGGCACCGCTCCTGCCTCCCAAGTGCAAGGTCCTGAGTTTGAACCTCGGAACAAAAAAAAAAAAAGTGGGGTGGTCAGGGATTTAGCTCAGTGCTTCTACCGCCTGCCTCACAAGCGCAAGGTCCTGAGTTCAATGCAAAAAAAAAGGCGCCTGCCTCTATCAAGTGTTGTTTTACTGCTTTGGTGAGTAATCACATTCATTCATGTTAAGAACTGACTGTTTTAAAACACTGTTCTGCTTCCAACTGTGGAGTAACAGACTGAATTTACACTGTGACAGCTACTCTGGATTGTCAACTTGATGTGGCTTCAGAGCCACCTAAGGAACTAGTAAACCATTCTCTGGGTGAGTCTGGGTGGGTAATAGAGGCAGGAACTGGGCACTGTATCCGGTCCCCGACTCCTTCCTCTCTGGTGCTACCCCCTGCTCTGCTTTGCCATCCCTTCCGCCATGATGCTCCTTCCTTGGAACCACTGGACCATGGACTGAGCCTTCTGAACCCATGAGCCCAATAAACCTCTTCTCTAGATTGCAGATATGTGGTATTTTGTCCTGGCAATGAGAAGGCTAACACATGCTCCCAACTGAAAAAGACCGAAATATGGGCAAAATACATAAAACAATGGTTTTTGCAGACAGTGGCCATCAGTCAACAACAGTAATTCCTGAGGGATGAAACGAGCAATTTAAATTCTACAATTGCCTCAACTTACTGCCTGGCACATTGTAGGCCCAACAAAGGTAAAGAAAGCCAGAAAGGGCCCAGGAGATGTCCAGGTGAAAAGAGGGAGCTGAGAGTTGGGCAGGCCAAGGCAGGTGGGCTTCGAGGACAGGTGTGCAGACACTCCAGAGAGTGGAGCCTCAGGTCCTGCCCAGATACAGACCGGGGCACCTGTGAGCATTGCCTGAGGCTGAAGGAACAAGCCCTGGTGCTGTTGTTTCATATGGCATCCATGAGAGCCCATGGAAGGTTCTGCCTATGAAGTGGGGAAAACCACATCTCACCCAAAGCTGTTCTGATCACACATGCACAAGACTTAAAAGCAAGGCCCCCAGGCCAGGGATTGAGCTCAATGGCACTATGCCTGCCTCGCAAGCTCAAGGACCTAAGTTCGACCCCTAGTACCAAAAAGAAAAAAAGCAAGGACCCAAACAATCAGTGTTTCTAAGTGACTTAACTTCACCCTAGGAAAAAAGCCCACGAATATTTGCAAGAATAAAAACAGCCATCATCCCCTAAGGTAAATCACAATGTCTGGTATAGAATCAAAAATTATCAGGCAGGCAAAGAAGCAAGAAATATTACCCTCAATAAGGAGAAATAAAAACAACTAAAATCAACCTCTTATACACAGAACTTCATGAGTTATTCTAACTGTATTTTGTATGTACAAGAAACCAAAAGGAAGGAAACAAGTTAACTAGAACATGGAATATAGAAGAAAGGCTCAGACTGAACCACTAGAGAGGAAAACTCAACATCACAGAAGGAAAACACAATGGAGGGACCAAGGGACAATCACAGAGAAAAGATTGGTGGGCGCAGAACACAGCTACAGAAACTTCCAAAATAAAACTCCAAGAGAAGTAAAACTGAAAAAAAGACTAGAGTATTAATAAGCCACAGGATAATGTCACACAGCTTCTTCATTCACATGTAACTGGGTATTAACTATATCTGAGAAAAACAGAAAAACACCTCAAAAAGAAAGGCCAAAATGTCACCAATCTGATGAAAACCATAAATTCAAAGATCTAAGGAATTCAAGGAACCCCAAATACAAGAAACAGAGAGAAAACTACTCAAAGGCAAGTCATAATTATCTTGCTTAAGGCCACTGATAAAAAGAAGTATCTTCAAAGCAGCCTGAGGAGAGAAAAAGTTAAAAATCGATTCATACATAATCGTATTGTGTAGAAAATCGATCATGGGGCCGGGGATTTAGCTCCGTGGTTCCACCACTTGCCTTGCAAGCACAAGGACCCAAGTTCAATCCCCAGTACCAAAAAAAAAAAAACAAAAACCACAAAAAGGTAGTTTCAGTGATACAGAAGTAGAGAGTGGAATGGTGGGTACCAGAGGCCAGGGAGAGAGGAGGGACGGACAGGAAAGGTTGGTCAGCTGGTACTAAGAAATGTGAAGAGTGTACAATATACGCATGTCTCAAGCACCACGTTACCCCACAAATACGTACCATTTATAACGGGTCTATTAAAAGAAAAGACGGGCTGGGGATTTAGCTCAGTGGTGTTGCCTCCTGCCTCGCAAGCACAAGGTCCTGAGTTCCAACCCAGGTACCAAAAAAAAAAAAAAAAAAAAAAAAAA